AATGGTTGTGTTACGCAAGCGCGGTCTATTTGCAGCGTGGAATTGGTTCATGCGCTATTTCGGACGACGTTTTTATTGTTATATAAACATCGCTGAAAATGCAACGTGACAGAATGTATTCTCAAAAACTACACGGTTTCCTTTTAAAAATACATCGTAGATTTTTCTAGCATGTTCTAGTACTTTAAGAAAATACTCGGAATTTAAGTGTTAAACATCATCATAAATCATATTGAAATTATTGTTCAATTATATAAAAAAAAAATACTGTTTCAAATTAAAATTCCATGATTAATTTCTAGTGATTTAAGAAAATATTCGGATTTAATTATGTTATTTCGAAAAACACAATAAATTAAATAGATTTTAAACCCTTATCCACATGTAAATAGATCCAAGCGTGTTTTGTAACATTTGTGTTTTTTTTTATATAAATGAAATAAAATTGTATAAAATATATATTAACATTTTTTTTTTCTGTTATCAAATGTACATAGAACGTATATAAATTTATATAATGATTATATTTTATCGAATTGTCTGTGAGTTTTCTTTTCTCAATGAGTATATTTAGATGAAGAAATAAATGAATATATTATATATTATTAAATAAAAAAAAAACTAAATAAATAAATATTGCCCTATTTTATTTATATTTCTTACCTTTGTACTTTGTAACTAATTTTCTTCTACTTTCTGTTTTCTTAGAAATGTACCTAAATGAATTGTTTCATAGTTATTATTATATATTGATTATCATTTGTGTAATTATTATTATTAATATTATATAATATAGTGAAGCGGAGATTCAGTAAGCAAAAAGATATTGTAAGTAACAAAAAATTTGTAAATGTTTGTATATGTAAATGTAATTAGAAAATTAAAAACAATGATCTGTACTGTATGGAAACGAGGAATTCAATTACACTTACATATATGATATATGTGGATATTTCTAATGAATTTCTTATTATTAATATTTGAATGAAATTTTGAACGGATGCCGTGTATAAATGAGTATTGTGAGCCGAAACTAAACCAGAAACATTATTATTATTATTGTAAATGAATTCATTAAAAAACAGTAAACGTTTTTCGTTGCATTTATTTAATTACTTATTTTAGACCCTCTTTTACCTACACAATTTATCCCATTTAGCATCACAAAATATAATGTGTGATTATCGAAATTCTCAAGTAAGTATTTTATATATTTTTATTAATATTGATATATAATTTTGCCATACATTTTTTTTTGTCTTTACTTCTTGACAACTTTTTTCATAAAGTAAAAGAAATATTATTTTTTTAAAAGGCAACAAGAAATTCTTCAGTTGTTTCTATTTCATTTTCGAAATTTGAAATATTTATTTTGATTTTGTCTTTCTGACATCTTTTTTTATAATAATAATTTGCAATATTTTTTACATTTATATAAATTTTAACTTTGTCTTTCTGACAATTTTTGTTGTATCATAATGTTCCTGCTTTTGAATATTGTCAGTAATAGAAAGAACAAATTCTTAGAAATTTCACTCCTTCAATGACCAAATACAAGAAGAAATTGTTTTTCTTTTCGAAATTTAAAAAATTTATAATATCTCAACGACAAAATCAAATTTTAAAAAAATATAAGTAATTTTTTTAAATTTTGAAAAGATGAAGAATTTCTTGTTGTCTTTGATCAATGAAGCATTGAAACTTCTAAGAATTTATTAATTCTATTACTGAGTATATTCAAAGACAAGAACATTATAATAAGAAAAAAATATGACAACGACAAAATCAAATTTTTAAAAAAATATAAGTAAATTTTTTAAATTTTGAAAAGATGAAGAATTTCTTGTTGTATTTGGTCATTGAAGGAGTGAAATTTCTAAGAATTTGTTCTTTCTATTACTGACAATATTCAAAAGCAGGAACATTATGATACAACAAAAATTGTCAGAAAGACAAAGTTAAAATTTATATAAATGTAAAAAATATTGCAAATTATTATTATAAAAAAAGATGTCAGAAAGACAAAATCAAAATAAATATTTCAAATTTCGAAAATGAAATAGAAACAACTGAAGAATTTCTTGTTGCCTTTTAAAAAAATAATATTTCTTTTACTTTATGAAAAAAGTTGTCAAGAAGTAAAGACAAAAAAAAATGTATGGCAAAATTATATATCAATATTAATAAAAATATATAAAATACTTACTTGAGAATTTCGATAATCACACATTATATTTTGTGATGCTAAATGGGATAAATTGTGTAGGTAAAAGAGGGTCTAAAATAAGTAATTAAATAAATGCAACGAAAAACGTTTACTGTTTTTTAATGAATTCATTTACAATAATAATAATAATGTTTCTGGTTTAGTTTCGGCTCACAATACTCATTTATACACGGCATCCGTTCAAAATTTCATTCAAATATTAATAATAAGAAATTCATTAGAAATATCCACATATATCATATATGTAAGTGTAATTGAATTCCTCGTCTCCATACAGTACAGATCATTGTTTTTTTATTTTTAATTTTCTAATTACATTTACATATACAAACATTTACAAATTTTTTGTTACTTACAATATCTTTTTGCTTACTGAATCTCCGCTTCACTATATTATATAATATTAATAATAATAATTACACAAATGATAATCAATATATAATAATAACTATGAAACAATTCATTTAGGTACATTTCTAAGAAAACAGAAAGTAGAAGAAAATTAGTTACAAAGTACAAAGGTAAGAAATATAAATAAAATAGGGCAATATTTATTTATTTAGTTTTTTTTTATTTAATAATATATAATATATTCATTTATTTCTTCATCTAAATATACTCATTGAGAAAAGAAAACTCACAGACAATTCGATAAAATATAATCATTATATAAATTTATATACGTTCTATGTACATTTGATAACAGAAAAAAAAAATGTTAATATATATTTTATACAATTTTATTTCATTTATATAAAAAAAAACACAAATGTTACAAAACACGCTTGGATCTATTTACATGTGGATAAGGGTTTAAAATCTATTTAATTTATTGTGTTTTTCGAAATAACATAATTAAATCCGAATATTTTCTTAAATCACTAGAAATTAATCATGGAATTTTAATTTTAAACAGTATTTTTTTCTTTATATAATTGAACAATAATTTCAATATGATTTATGATGATGTTTAACACTTAAATTCCGAGTATTTTCTTAAAGTACTAGAACATGCTAGAAAAAATCTACGATGTATTTTTAAAAGGAAACCGTGTAGTTTTTGAGAATACATTCTGTCACGTTGCATTTTCAGCGATGTTTATATAACAATAAAAACGTCGTCCGAAATAGCGCATGAACCAATTCCACGCTGCAAATAGACCGCGCTTGCGTAACACAACCATTCGAGGGATAGAGAGGTGGCGATTGTTGCCCCCCATCAATATCCTTCGAAAGCAGAAATCAATTTTACAACTCTCATCGGCTACGAAAATAAATTAGCTATGTCTAAACTAAACGAAACGAGAAAAAAAAAAGAGCACACCGATCGTCTGGGAACGTTCCGTGTTTATTTACAAGGGATTTCTTTGAAGGATTGTGGATAAATGCAAATTCAAATGGCACGCGAAATTGATAGGAAATTGGGAGTAGTTGAAGAGATGGGAAAGAGATCAAATGATTGAAATTATTATTTTTGTTTTTTTGAATGGAAGCATAAATTATCACTAGGTTATTGCGGTTTTGTTGTTGATTAAAGTATAGGATTGGATGGATGTAATGAAAGAATATGAGAGATAGAGGATTTAATAATTTAACTTATTTACATACACGTTCAGTCGATTACATTCCCTATGTGCTCTTGGAGTTGTGCAGCTCCTGTAGTTCCTCCTCTTCCTTGGAAAGTGGTATCGTGGAGTGATTGTAGAGGCCCTGAGCCATGAGCTGCAGGGCCAGAGGGTTCTTCTGACCGGAGGCCTTCTTGATCTTCGCTCGTTTGTTCTGGAACCAGATCTTGATTTGGGCCTCGTTCAATCCGAGCTCGGCGCTGAGCTGTTGCCGCCTCCTCTCAGTCAGGTACCGATTCTCCGCAAACTCGTGCTTCAGACGGGCCAATTGGGCCCCCGAGAACGCCGTCCTCGGCCTCTTCTCCTCGGCGGCAGTCTGGGCGGATCCGCCACTCCCGGCGCTCGGAGACGTCTTCCCCGTTGACGGTTTCTTCACCCTTCGTGTCCTCGGACCTGCAAGCACACAAACAAACAAAAAAGGGCTCAGCTCAAATTGCTTCCGGATGACTGGCAGAAATGGGGAAATTCGTCCAAGGCTCGCGAAAACGGTTAGCCTCGATGCGAGCAGAAATTAATTGAACCTCGTTAAGAATGAGCGGACCAAAACAAGCGAAAAGGAGTTACTGCTCCCCTGTGGCGCATTCAAAGGAGACAACAAAAAAAAATATATAATACGAGTGTTAGTTACGCAACGGCACCATTTACCCAAGTTGCATTACCAAAAACGCAAACGAACTTATTTTCAGTTCCCGTCGTTTCCACTAGACGCCTGCCTGCATTTCGTTTCCCCCCTTACAACAAACAGTGCCGGATTAAAACAAAATTTACAGTCTACTATGAGTTATAATCAATACAATAATAATATCAGAAAAATTTATATTATAATTCCAATAATATTTATTACTTTATGATTATTTTCTCTAAATCAATCGAAAATAGAAAAATCCCCTTTGTTAGAATTTATTTATTTATATGTACAGAATGTACTTTCTTTCTTATGTATTGAAGTTTGGCCAATAAATTATTATTATTATAATCAGAAAAAAAAAATAGTGTCCTTATATATTTCTATTATTCAAGAAGTTCATTCGTCTCAATGATTCCATTAATTATATATAATTCCATTGTCCCGATGAAGTTGTAAAAAAAACAGTTAAAAATTACCAATTGAAAATAGAAATAAAAATTTTCTGAAATTAATTTACTTATTTTCTATGCAAGTTTCTACATTAGTTTACTAGTTAGTTTAGATCAGCGGTCGGGGAACTTTTTTAACTATTCAGAATGGGGGGTAATATCGACTTACGCAAAAATATTTTGGGGTA